TGTGTAAGTCTGGAGCCAGCTAGTCTGTAGAGACTATGTCTATCACGTGGTCCTTGCCTCCTGCTGTATGGTAGTGCTCATGTGAGGGATGGAGTATGTTCGCAGTTTAAGATTCACGTGTTAGTGCTGTATGTTTTGCTTTATTATATGATTCCTGATTCAAAGCATTAAAGGAAAGGTATCATCTTCCTTAAACTATGAGTGCAGCCTAAAAATCATACTGCTGTGGAGGAGAGAGGTAGGGAGCAGACGAGTATTGATGTTCTGCTCTGATTTAAGGTTGGGACCTTTCAGCTATGTGTCATGTCATCTCCCAATTTAAACTTAGCTAATTTGGTTTTGTTCTTTGTGTGGAATATATCGTTTGATATTTCTAGGAAGTGCAACTTTAAGGAGAACATCTTTAGGAAAGCTTTGTTTAAAAAGTGTTGAGAGGTAGTAGCATGCTGGTTATTTATAAAGGGAGTGCTTGTAGTGGCTTATGCTTTACAGTTCTCTGTTGAATAATAATATATTAGCTTTTGGTATGTACATGTAATTATGATAATGGTAAAATTCACAAACAATTTCAAGTTCTAAATTTTGCCTCAAAGGCAATGAGAAATGTAAAAGGCACTGACTGTTGCTTTTTCATACTTGCAGTCAATGAAAAAGTAGATCCACGGCTCCATCTACTGGACTTCAACACCACCAGCAAGAGCTGCTCTTTTTCGAATGCACTGCACTCCGGCACACTTGTGTGAGTAACCGCCGGGCAGAAGCTTGAAATAAAAAATACTGGGTTTTATTTTTCAGCTGGTGGATTGGTGGAGTAGGTTTCTCTGGAGACATTGGTGTAATATTTTGACAATTTTACCTGTTTTAACACTTGTGGGTTTTTTTCTGCCGTTACATTCACTGTTTGAAAGTTGAGCAATTAGTTTGTTTTGACAAGATACAGTAAATATAAAATACAGAGCTTGTTGTATAATTCTTACCCTGTACTTTTATGTATTTTATACTCATACAACTGCTGTAGGCAAGATAAAGGCCTACTATTGTATAGTTGGATGATTCCTCCAAAGATCTCTTGTGTGGAAAGAATCAGCCCCAAGTATAAAAAACTTGGCCTCTTTGTTTTCTCTGGCAATTAAATACATGGCTTTAAGATATTGTTGAGATTAATTTGCATTTTGCAACATCTTGGTGCAGGCCAGTGTGAAAGGAACCTATTTCCATTTGATTAACTTTTAAAATTGCTGATGAGAGGGAAAATGTTTTGTTCGCACTTTGCCTGTTTCTCATTTGCGTTGGTTTCAGCACAGGAGCTCAGAAAATGTGAGCTGTAGCCAAGCTCTTGAGGAAGAGCAGATCCTGAAATAATCCACCATTACTCTGGCTGCAATTAAATGTTTTCCAGATAGAATACTTATTTTCCTGCAGTATATCAAACTTTGTCTTGTGTAATCCGAGATGCAAAAATGTGCATCAAAAATCCATTCTATAAAAAGCAAAATTTGAATGTCTATTGCAGCAGTGAGTAAACACTTCAGTTTCAGCAATAACTGGCTTTTAGAATTAAAAAGCATTACAAAGTAATGGTTTGTGTATTTGACCAAGTTTCAGACCTCCGTACAGAATACTGTGTAGACTGTTTTTTGACTGTTCACATTATGTGATAATGATGCAAAATATATGTTGTCCTAAACAAGGAGTCTGATCTAACTGAAAGCCTTCCTAGACTGTCACTTTTCCTTGATCCTTCTTGTTTACTTGACTTCTTGTTAGTATTCTAAAAACCCATAATTTATTTGAAGATCCATGGAGCTTTGTATTAGGCCCTAGATTGACTGTGTAGGATCAGAATTGTTGTCCAGCTTAAATTTGAGAGCGCCATCTGGAATGGCATAATACCATTGCAAAGGTGTCTTTCTCTGCTGTTTTCTTTTTCCTCTGTTGCAGCTTTTAAGAATGATGCCAGTAGGAATGGGGATGTTAGATACAGAAAATTAGTGATTTTGTAGAGAATGTGTGGCTGGAGTCAATTTCAGTCTGTAAGGGTTACTGCTATAAAGTGGTAAGCACAAGTAATTATGTTAAATGTGGAGACTGAAAGGAAGCATCTCCTATTTCGCTCATAATAGGATGTATATGGCAGTTTATAACTCCTCTGCAATAAGTGAAAAAATTAATGAAAGATCTTATTTCATTAATATCTGAGGGTATTAATATCTTGAAATACATATTATAAATGGTATATGCAAATAATATTCAAAATATTAATAAAATATTCACAAGTCAAAGTATTCAAACTGTATATGCGCATAAGCATTCATATATGCATATATGCATGTATGTGTATGTTTTAAGAAATGTCCAGTGATAGCTATTGTAGACCTAAAAAGAACAGTATATTATAATTAGTTCATATTTTATGTGTGAGGACTTCTGCTGCTTAGACAATAAAAGAACTGTTGACAGTTTATTTGTGCTCTTCCTTCAAGAGGCAAGGAAGGAAGAATGACTGAATAAATGCCATTTTGTTATCTGCAGTTAGAGACAATGTATTCTATTAAAAATTACCACCTGGAAAGCTAAGGCTGTGTATATTCACAGGTCAGTTATTAGGAATAATCTCTATTATTATTTAGACACAGCCTTTGTATTTCCAGCGAAAGTTACAATATGTGCTTTTTGCTCAGTTTTCTGCTTCCTTCTGCTCTCAACTCAGAGAATTTCATAATAATAAACCAGGATGGTTTGTTCTTCAGTGAACTGACAATTTAGGTGTGGGCAGGAGAGAGAACAATGGGAGCAAATGTTCTGTCTGAGCATAAAACGCCTATAGCGATTTAATGTATTTTAAAAATATTTTGCTCATCTACTGCAGTTGTAAAACTGTATTCTAAAGTCTTTTTTCAGCAGTTATGATGTCTCCTTAAAATACAAGGAAGAACCCTCACAATCTCTAAAAATCTTGTTGTGTATGTGTGCATATCCATACATATCAGCATGCCTGCAAGTACACGTTCACAAAAGCAAAAAAAACCCCAACACAATAGGTCTGGAAGTGGTCAAAGAACTGAGAGAGGTTTGTAATGGGAGGGTGGAGAGGGTTGCATGCGGCTTTCCAAAGCCCATTTTCGGTAGGCTGAATTGTGGACAGGTGAACAAGCTGGTACAGCATAAGCCCCTATGTGAGTTCACAGGACCTCAGCTTCTCTGTGCCGTTGCCTCTGCTTTTGCTCTTACAGCGGTGTAAATGCAAATTACCTTACGTGTCAGTGAAATGGAACAACTGGCCGTGCATCAGTTCTTTTGGTGGATGTAAAGTTATTCCGATAACCTGTGTGTGTGTGCCTGTACCATCAGTTCTGTCCCAATCAAACTGAATTCAAATTTGGGTTTCAATTGCAGGACCTGGGTATCGTCTAAGTTGGGTTTTAGCTTGTCATCAGAGATCACCAAGGACTTCTAGGAATTAGTGACTATTCCCAAGCTGTTTCTCTCATCTTAAACTATAAAATTGCTTATTGATTCCTGGTGCTTGTGAATATTGTGGCTGCTTGGTAGTGCATGTTCAGACTGGAGCTGTACTAGCTTTTTTTTTTAAAAAAAAAAGTTAACGCAGAAAGTACAGTCCAATGTCTAGTCAGAAACGGTCTCTGAACTTACTTGTTACCCTTTCTTTCACAGTAATATAACATATATGTAGTTTTATTACTCCTTAAATATTCTGTTCCCATTTTTATTTTTATGTGTGTGTATATAGACACACTGTATAAATATATATATTTTTCATAGATATTTGTTATAGCTGCATAATGCATATTAAATCGCTCATTAGATGAATGAATTTGTTTTTGCACTTGACATAAAAACATTGTTTAGATAAATGACCTGATTTTTATTCCTACGTGCTGAACACTTGCAGCTCACGAAGTTGTACTCAGGCATTATACCTACAGCCTCTCTAGTTCTTGTGGTTATATATCACATTTTTTTTTGCTCCTTCCGTGGTCCTGTCTCTTACAGCAGTAGTTCATTATAATGAGAACAAAAAGGAGAGAGAACTGGTATATATTTCATAAAGATTAATTTTCTTCTAGTACATCTGCTGTGCTGATCGAAATAAGTTTTTATTGCTTAAATATTTATAAAAAATGCCAAGTGTCTGTGTATGAAACACTTTTCGCTAAATTCAAAAAACTGCAAAAATAGCTAATTATAAGCAAGTAGGCTACAAGAGGATTTCACAGAAGTGTTCAAAGCAAACATTAAAGTTCAAATCTAGAAACATGATCCCATATTTTGACAGTAAATTCCTAGAACTTATAGTTACTTAGGAGGAATTTTTGGTGGTGCATATTTTATCTTGACTGCAATGCTGTAAGATGATACATACAGCCTTTAGCAGGAGCACATAAAGGAATTAAAAATCCAACTGGAAGGTCAGTGAAGACTGGAAAATTTAAATCCTCTTCTTTCTTGCAAAAATCTGAGTATTTAGGAACGCAAAATAATGTTTTGTTCTACTTAGATCATGAAAAATCAAGTCTCTTCTAAGAGAGCTTACAGTTTATAAGAAGACTTGTCCCAAGAACTTAGAAAAACAAGGACATTTGGGTGATATATTTGTATATCTTTTGGCATGTAGATTTTATACTGTTACCCAGTGTGATCTGCATCGCATAATATATCATATATAATACTGTATCTCATGTATAGGACGTTTTGAGCCACATCTTTGCTGAGCTGCTGGGTTTTCAGCGCTGCCTATTGAACATCACTTTGAAATTCTAAAAATCTTCAGTAATGCATATGCAGCAACTTGCAGCTGTACATAAAATTGACGTTGGCATCTCATGTATTTAGGCTGACTTAAAGCCTGTTCAAGTGGACTTTGAGGCTGAATCATTTATCTTTTTTTTTTTTTTTTTTCCTCCCCCCCCCCCCCCCCCGATTAATTTTTTACGTATTAGTTTATTGGCTGTGAAGAGCCACAGACACTTCGTGCCCTGATGGGGGACTCAGGATCCAGACGATCTACTCTAGTATCTCGGTTGCCAATATTCAGGAGAAGTATTAGCCGGAGACACGACTCCCTTCCTTCCTCACCTTCTTCTGCTAATGCCATTGGTGTCCACACCTCCTCCCCATCCAGCACTAACTCCAGCTCAGGGAGTACAGGCAAGCGCCGGAGTATTTTCCGCACTCCTTCCATTAGCTTCCATAACAAGAAAGGGAGCGAGCAGAAGCCTGACTCGGCTAGTCAAACCGTTAACATCTCAAATGGTGCCCAGTCCTCTCTCAGCACTTTTCAAAAACTGAGCTTAGAGGAACACATTAAAAGCAGAGGAAGGCATTCGGTTGGCTTTGGCAGCTCACGTAGCAAGAAGATAACAAGGTCTTTGACAGACGATTTTGAAAAGGGAAAGGAGCCCTCAGCTAATAAGAATGTCTTTATAAATTGCATAAGCTCTGGGAAGAATGAGGGTGATGATTCAGGCTTTGCAGAGGAGCAGAGCCGATACTCTGTCAAACAATCCACGCGAAAACTTCTCCCTAAATCTTTTTCATCGCACTACAAGTTTTCCAAACCAGTTCCGGAGAGTCAGTCAGTTTCCTCTGTGCCACAGTCCAGGTGCTTGCTGGAGGTTAAATCGTACGTGGAAAGCGAACCTGTGATTGCCAAGTCCTCTCCTCCATGTTCGGCCGAGACGACAGAGTGCATGGGAAGCTCCTTGCAGTCCCCACTGCTCTCAGCTGACCTCACGGCTGCCCAGACCCCCTCTGACTTTGTCGCTCTGACAGAGGATTCTGTTTCGGAGGTTGATGCTCTGCCCAGCAGCGGGACTGGGGTGCTGCTCTCAGAGGATTTTGGCCACAATGTCTCTACCTCTCAGGTCTTCTTTAATCCTGCTGCTGCTTCTGCGAGAGAAACGGATATTGTGGAAAGTACTGGCCATTCTGCTGGTGTATCTCCTGTGAGTCGCGCGAGCTCATGTAGTGTTGAATCTAATAACTTATTCAAAACCTCAGCTGCTAATCAAACAAAAATATTGTTGCAAGCCAATGAACTACATATTAACGATGCTAGGCACATAGGAGAAATTAATTCAGCAAATGCACATTTAGAAACCTTTGCGTTACAGCATAGAGAAGAACCAGTGATACTCTCTCCAAAGGCACAGGAGTTGAGTGGGGACAGAGATGAAAGCACGCCATCCAAGCACATGAGAGAGAGAATTCCTGTAATGGAGTCTAAGATTGTTCCATGTTCTGAACCTCAGTCCTTTAAAACACAACAGGGTTATGAAACAAACTGTTCTAAAGGTATGTCTTGTGGTCTTTTCATTGTTGGGTTTGGTGGGGTTGTTTTGGCCTCAGTTCTTTTATAAAAATTGTTTGGTCATAAAGTGTTTTTGTAGAGTTGCCAGTGCTAGCTAGGAAGTTCAGAAGTTATGAATTGTGCCCTCCTCCCAAAATTGTAGGAATTAAATAAAAAGTCTATGATTTTTTGAGTTCACGTTTTAAGTTTGCTGACACCCATCAGTACTGTTCGTAGCTATGCTTTCCTGTGGTAGAAAATGAATTGAGAAAGAGAGTATCAGTTCTCGCCTCTTGTTGAAGGTTGAAGCTGGGATCTTTGAGGCCTGCCTATTTTGGACTTGAGCCAAAGAGTTGCATTGTTTGAGATGGAAACATTGCCAGAGAAAATAAACCTTCTTTTAGTCTGGTTAAGAAAAACAACACAGTTTATCGTATCTTGATCTGGGCTTCGAAATTCCCTGACTCTTGCTTGCTCTATTCAACTGATGTTATAGAGTAGCGGGGAGTGGATGTTTCTGTGGCAGAGTATGACAGATGCTATTTCTGCTTCCATCTGAAATAATCATAGAATAGTTTGGGTTGGAAGCGCCCACCCCCCTGCCATGGGCAGGGACACCTTCAACTAGATCAGGTTGCTCAGAGCCCCCTGACCTGGAATGTTTCCAGGGATGGGGCATCCACCACCTACCACCT